TCGGAATTTTTCTTTCCTTTAACATGCATCGGACCATATTAAGGATAGTCCTATTTTTTCTTTCCGAGACACCATTTTGTTGAGGTGTGTATGGCATGGTGAATTGATGTAGAATTCCATTATTTCTACAAAAACTTTCAAATTCATTTGATATATATTCACCACCTCTATCTGTTCTTAAACATTTAATCTTACAACAACTTTGTCTTTTAACCAAATCCTTAAATTCTTTGAATTTGCTTAAAACTTCTTTCTTTTCTTTTAACATGTAAACCCAAGTTTTGCCACTATGATCATCAGTAAATGTAAGAAAATACCTGCTTCCTCCAAGTGTTACTGGATTGATAGGGCCACAAACATCCGAGTGTACCAGATCAAGTCGATTCCATGCTCTTTTTGTCCTTCTCACTTTGAAAGGTCTTCTTTCTTGCTTACCCATGACACATACTTCACACAATTTTGTTGGGCGATCAATTTTTGGCATTCCTGTCATCATATTATACTTCTCTAGAAGTTTCAAAGCCTTAAAATTTAAGTGAGCATATCTAAGATGCCAAAGTGTAGAGATATCCTCAATATCAGCTTTAAAACAATTTGATTGATCAAAAATACTTAAATGCAGAGGAAACATTCTATTCTGTGCCATTTTCACATGTGATATCATTGTTTTATTCTTATCACGAATTGAGAGAGCCATATCTTTCATCTCAATTTCATAACCTTTTTCAAGTAATTATCCCAAGCTTAGAATATTATTTTTCATATCAGGAACATAATAAACATCTGAAATGTATAATTCCTTGCCATTATTAAGTTCAAGGAGAATTTTACCTTTGCCTCTTACTGGTCTTTGAGACAAATCACCAAATGTAATATTCCTGGAATAACTTGTATCCATTTCTGAAAATAGCTCTTTGATGCCACACATGTGATTTGAGGCTCTTGTATCTAGATACCATGTCATAGAATCATTTTTCAAATTTTCATAACTCATTAGCAAAACTTGATTTTCCTTCTTTTCTTCCTCAACAAAATTTGTCTTATCACTTTGATTGTTAGGATTATAATAACATTCATAAGAGTAATGCCCATACCTTTTGCAAACATAGCATTGTATTTCAGACCTTTTAGAGTTTCTGCCACGTCCACGGCCTCGGCCACGTCCTCGACCATAACCTCGGCCTCTTTGGCTATAATTTTCTCCAACATCTTTACTGTTTGGAGATTCTTGATTGGTCTGATTTCTGCCTCCTCTTCCTCTTTGTCCTTGTCCTCTTCCTCTTTGAGAATTTGATTCTCTTTTATTTTCAAGAGCAAACTTAGCTTGTAGTGCTTGCTCCATAGTTTTCTCTTCTCCTCTTTTTGTAATCCTTTGTTCATGAACTTGAAGGGAACCCATAAGTTCTTCTAAAGACATTTTTTCCAAATCTTTAGATTCTTCAATCGCAACAGCAATAAAATCAAATTTCGGATCTAGAGATCTCAATATTTTTTCTATTACTCTATGATCATTTACTTGTTCACCATTTCGTCTTATTTGATGAACAATAGAAATGATTTTTGAGAAGTAATCAGAAATAGTTTCAGAAGTATCTTGTTGTAGTTTTTCAAACTCGGCTCGTAAAACTTGTAGACGAAGTTTCTTTACCTTATCAACACCACCGAATGCTTTTTGAAGCATTTCCCAAGCCTCCTTTGAAGTATTTGCTGGAGCGATAATCTCGAACATTGTATCATCAAGCCCTTGGTAGATTGTGAACAAAGCCTTTTTCTCCTTCTTCCTTCTTTCTTTGAGTTGTTTTCTTCCTTCTGCATTCATTGCTCCTTCTTCTGCTGGACTTGGTTCAGCAAATCCATCTTCTACAAACTCCCATACATCTTGGGAGCCTAGAAGAACCTTCATTTGGATGCACCATATGTCAAATTTTCTTTTGTCAATCTGGGGATCTGGAGTTGGATGGCACTTGAGGAAGAAGTCATAGCTTTAACCTATGCTCTGATACCAAATGTTGAACTTGATAGGAAGAGGGGATGGAGTTATCAAATAGAGGAAGAGTATGACAAGCTTCAATCTTCTATATTTCTTTCAAGAAAAACTCTTTACAAATTTCAGAAACTCTATTTCACTCATGACCCATCATATGGGGTTTATATAGTCCCCAAAGATACATTATATTAATTGTATTCAAGATGAATCATTCTCTTTCAAGAAACCCTTTCAAGAACCAATAACCAATTTGACTTATCCTTCTATAGACTTTTAATCCATTTTTTCTTCTTGATGTAATGATTCTCCCACTTGATGCAATGAACCTTTTTATGCCTCTGGAACAAGTTTAATTCCAACATACAGTGGACCAATACGACGAATGATGTAAAAAATGATATAATTAAAGAAAGAATTATAAGATAGATAATATGATGTTCTAAGAAGTATCATAAAGTGTATTATATTTCCTATGTATCAATCGAGAAGGATATAACTATACGAAAATAGACTAACGCACCAATCACATGTCAAAAGTGTGTCCAATAAAAATCAAGAGAGGATGTCTTAGAAATATATTCTATATTAAATCTTCAATCATGGTGGATGACCTTATTCTAGCCTAAAATAAAATAGGACAAGATATCAGTCCTACTAATGACCCTCTTAAAAAATTAGATCATGCAACTATCAAGAATAAGAATGCTAATGAATACAATGTACAAATCTATTAGATATAGTTCCTAATACATATGACGTTTTACGAATCTCAAAGCACTCATACGATCGAGAAAATTATTTAGGCTAAATAAAGTTTGAGTTAAATAAGATTGTGTCAATTTAGAGATATTTGATAAGATCCAGAGTGACTTAAACTCGTCATGGTTGATTGTCCTTACTTACTATTGATTTTTAATAATGAGAAGATTTACTTCAATTTGAAGATGTTGATATAGAATTTCTTGATAGCTTTACAGCGCCAATGTGTGACAGGGCGAAGGGCAACTTGGATCTCAATTTGCGCCTCCATTGAGGTTGCTTTTGCTTCGTCTTGATATAAAAATCTTTT